ATTTGACAGTCTTTGTGGACTTGTTTTGATACAAAACTTCATTATTTTATATTTTTTTATTTGAAAGAAAATGCAAAACTAATTACATTTACATTAGCATTCAGTGCACAAATTTCTGTATCAGAGAATTTATGAAAATGGGTTTAATCCACCCACTTGTTCATCCAAAACCCTTTTCTGCCTTTAGAGCCTTTGTATAAAAATTTTGAGACTCATTGAACCTGTCACTCAAGCAAAACCTCTCTAATGCTTGCTGGAACCATCCAGACCAAACTGAAAAAAAGGCTGTGTTTAAAATGAACGTGTCTGTAAAGATTTCACTGCCTCTGCTTTACTTGCACTTCAACAATAATCAGCTCCCTTGAGGTCAGGAGGGCTTCTTTGGTGGTGGATTAGCTTATTCAGTTGCAACTTTACAAAAATATGTGCAGCAGCACAGTTGACCTATGTGAAGATCCGTGTAAGTCTGGTACTTTAAAAATAGGAAGATGACCAAGAAAAGAAATGTTCTTGAAATCTCACCACTGATAATCTTATTCCAAATGGGTGAAACAAGGAAAACAACAAGTGCAACCTCTGTGCTCTACAAAAGACACTCGGCTTTCCTAAATTTGTGCTCCACCTCTCACTTCTCATAGCTGCTTGGTCTCATCATGGTGTTGATTGATGCCACAGGAAGCATGGCACAGTAATAATGAGAAATAAGTTTGCAAATAAGGTGATGAATGTTGAGAGTGACTTGGAGGCGGGGGGTTCACAAGAAAAGACTAGTTCTTTTTTTTTCGTTCTCAGAGGCATGAAGCATTCAAGTGCCAAAGTCCTGGGGTGTTGAAGGGACTTTCCCAGTAGTAGTATAGAAATGTCACTCTCCCTTGACTTCCTTCCCCTGCTACCCCATTCCTCTCTGTCCCTAATCCCCCAGGGTTCTCTCCTCCAAAACACCTTTGCACAATTATTGCCCCCCATAAGGATCTAGAGTTTTGTCACTCACTCCGACACAGCTGGAACTACACCTCAAGAACAGCCCAGTGCAGTGCTTTTTCTGCCACCTTTTAGTCCTTTTCCCCTCCACTGAGGAAACCTAGTAGTTACCTGCAAGGTTTGTATTTGACTAATCAAATCTCTTGCAACTAGAGAAGTCAGAACCTTGAATTTTTTAATAAGACTAATAAATAATTATTGGCTAACACGGTAATATAGTATAACATAAACCCATTAACTGCTGGCTTACAAAATATCTGTGTCTTTGTATGCTGAGGCAGAACACTGTTGTCAGAGGATTGAATTTCTTTCTTTCATCTACAAAAAGAGTAATTTGGACCAGCCCTAACCTGGATGATATACTGCCTTCTGTCCCTGCCCAGAATTGTCTCTATCTGCTAGACATACTTGGTAATAATCTTCTAATAATATTCCAGACAACATGCTTCAAACTACTTAGTACAGACACTGTTGTTGTTATTGTCAAAAGATATGCAAAAGACATCTCTATCATATGAAAAACATCTAATTTTGGAACTGACAGTGGGGAAAGGGCTTAACAACACAGCCATGCATGTAGGCATGAGAGCTGCACATCCTTTCTCTGCTTTAATCAAACATTTCTTGTAAGATCTCCAAGAAAATACAGGTGAAACAATCACCCCAGATTATTGATTAAAATATTACATTAGCATAAAACATGCAATCCCTCTCTTAAATATGCCTACTCTTTTAGACAGTATTTCCATGAGAGTTGGTCTGGAGTACATAAAAAATTAAAAACATTAAAACTGCTCAAGACAAAGGGTCTGTTTTAGCTTTGGCCTAAGCATTTTCCTCGTTCTTCCTAGGTACCAAGGGTAGATCAAGACCCAGCTTGTCTGTCTGCACCCTGAAGGAAGGGTTGAATCTTGGTGGGTGGTGCACCCTCCAAAATGCCATTGTTTCATTGAGTCAGGAACAGCATCAAGATCTTCCTAGGTTGATTTTAAATTGGACTAAGTTGTCTGCCTCTAGAGGGAAGCTGAGGTAATCACTAATTCCCTGAGCATCTGGGGAGCTTATGGGAGGCTACTGGAACAGATAAGGTCACACATCATTCAACTAAGCCTGGCTTAGAGTTTGCAAGCAGAAAAAGTTACCCCTGGATCACCAGTACTAAACACTACTATCTTGCTGAATACTTCTTTCCCACTAATGATGCTGGTCTTTTTATCCTCAGTGTGGAATCAAGTATATATTTTTAATATTATTTTACAGTTCAATATAGCTTTAGCAGTACTGTTTCTAGTTACTATTTAGAGATATTTTCTTTCAGTTAGATTGATCTGTTAAATAAATATGCAAATACATCAAGGGCTCTGTGTAAAAATTACATACACACAACAGACAACCCCTCAAACAATAAACCCAAGATTAATAAAAATGCATACTACGTATATTACACTTCTGGAATGGCAATCTAGTTTTGAGACTATGATGAAACTTAATTACAAATTAATAAAATGACATAATCTAAAAAGAATCAGCATATAGAAAATAATGACATTGCCTTTGTAAAGGCAACTTGAGCATCTCCCTATTTAAAAATACACGAAGAAACCAACCTGTCTTGTCCATGCATTCATAGCTACTGAGGTACATTCATCCCTGGAGGTTTTTAAGACAAGGTTAGAAGAGGTTTTGTGCAACCTGGTCTAGTTGGTAGGATTCCCTGGGGGGTTGAAACTTGATGATCTTTAAGGTCCCTTCCAACCTTGATGATTCTATGAATACTAGATAAATTAGGAAAGAGTTTGTGGATTTCTTAATTATATGTCTGAATAACATGCGACAAATGTGTTGTTTCGGGGTTTTTTTATAAAGAAAAATGCAACCTTCAAGGTTTCATTCAAGACAATGAAATATCTCCTTTTGATTAAGATGTATTTACAATTAGGATTTGAAGAGAGGAATAATTCTTACTCTGAATCTCCGTACTTAGTGAAATTAGTATATAGTATCAATTTAAACACAGACTTCAACAGGTCATTTTGATTTATAATTACAAATAGAAAAGCTTACTTAAATGTATGACAAGAATTAAGCAAAAAGTCGACACTTTTTCCAGTATTAAAATACATGAAAGGACTGAGATGTTTGACAGTGGATGACATACTGATAGAGCAAATCACCTTGACTCCCATTAGCTTCAGCTTGCTTGAACACCCTTGAACTATGAGCTGTGAGAATGTTCAGGGATAAAACACGCTGACCTAGATAAAGTCATAAAACATCCTGTGTGTACTGTAAAATCACACCTCATCGTGGGATCTTTTGCCCAGTCACAAATTGCTCCTGAGAACATATGCCTGCAGATCTACGAGTGCACTGAACAACTCAACAACACACACGAAACTGCTGGAGGGCTGTGATTGAGAAATACAATTAACAGTCTTGTGCTTTATGTTCTGGTAAAGATCAGTGCTATCTAATGTAAGTATTTACCCAGCTGAATATTCATCCTCCAAATTGCTTCAGATGGACAACCTAAAATCACACACTTTAGCAGAACAGTTTCAAAGACAGGTGCTATCATCAGAGAATAGAAACACGACTAACCCTCCTACAGGACATTCCCCATCCCATAGCTGAAACTGACCAGTGGATGCCGTCACTTTAGATTGTTTTTGCTCAAATTTTTTTGAGGCAGCCTGATTAGAAATTATCCATATCCTCCATTCCAATAAATTTTGTTAAAAGTGGTACAGACCACTGGTAGTAAATAATATTGTTTCTGGTAATTCATATCAAAATAATGCACAGCATCATTGCTTAATATAAATCATTTACATACAGGTGAATGAGGGCAAAACAAAAGCATATAGCAATGCAGCTGCAGCTACTTTACTATGTTACATGACTGGAAGTGTTTGCTTTAATTTTTTTTTTAATCTTTTATGTAGAATTTGAATTTCTAATACCAGTAAGGAAGCAATTTTTCTTTTGGTATTTTTAAAATGCAAAGGGAAAAATGTGGATGAAATAGAATTCAGAGGAAGTAAGTGAGATCATATAAAAGGAACCTTTAAAATATAAGCAAACTGGTGTAACAGTAGTTACAGGGGAATCAAGTTCTACTAGGTTCAGCAACTCCTTAGGAAATGGAACAAAGAAGGAGATAGAGACCTATTCTTCAGGAATAAAATACTGTCGTCTTCCCTAATGATTTCCAATTGCTTGATTTGTGCATGTGGGGTCATTGTGTTTTATTAATTATCCGATCAGACTCATTAAAAGCACATTCAAGCTGTCACCAATGAAGGCACAAGGGGGAAGAGGAAGGAACTCAAGGAGTTAAAAAACTGCAGGATAACTGTACAGATTGTTTGGATATTAAAGTATAGTAATTTATTATGTATCAGTTGATGTATCATTATGAACCATCTGTTATTCCCCTTCCTAAGAAGGGGAATTTTGTTCTTTTGGGTTTTTCTCGTTGCATACCAAGCCATGAATCATTATAAAATATCAGACTCTGAATGCACCTACTGCTTTTCCCAGCTGGAAGGCATTTCTGAAGGATTCTGATGGCCTAGACATTGTATAGGAGGCTTTTTTGGTTTAAGCGTGATTTTTGCTCTTTACATTTTTTTCTCATTTAGTCATGTATCGTGGCAAGTATAGTACGTTATACGTCTGTTAGAAGGAGTGTCTGGTTGTCTAAGTAGTTCTGCACAGCAAAGACCTTCTATTTGGGGAACAATGACGTGAATCCCTCCTAACACTCAGGACACAATAAGCATCCTTTCTGTAGGCAGCAGGGACTGAAAACTTTATGCAACTCTTGGAGGTTTATTTCAGAAAGCAAATGTAAATTTTGTAACCCAGACTTTATTTTAAAGTGAATAAAAAGGAGTAAATCTTATATTTAGTTATGTTCAAAAGACATCAGTAGCACAGTGCATCTGAGAATTCCTGTCCAAGTCCCATGTGATTTCTATTTCCCCAGCTCTGCTCTACTTGGCTGCTTAGTACCATTACACTCCACTCTTCGTATCAAGCTCCTGATGATTTTGTGTTTCATTAATGGTCAGGAATTCATCACATGCTCCTGCTTGGTCATTTGACTGCTCTTTATGAACCAAGTGCACCATTTCTTGAGATTTGCTTGCATCTCCATTTAACCCACTTATCTTCCTGTCTTCCACTGCCCCTTTGCCATTGTTAATCACTAGCTTTTTCTTCTGCCCACATCTAGTAGGAAATAAAAAGAAAATTAATATTGTAGATGGAGACTAGCAGAAATAAGAAAAAAAATCAAAGTTAATAAAAACAATAAAAACAAAAGGTGCTTGAAAATGAATCTGGTGTCTGTTAGTGCAGACTGACAATGCAAAGTATAAAGTTTCTCCATATTGCAGATTTAATATTTGAAAGCATCCACCATTATATGCATAAAATGTGGCAGGAGCTCACTTTTTTGATTTCTACCTATTTTTACTACTCATTATCGAAAGCTAGAAAGGATTTTCTAACATTAAGATATATCCCCATTTATGAACTTTGTATATATCCCACTATAAGAACAGTGACATTCTAAATCCAGACTTGGAACCACACCTTTGAAAATGCTGAAGTTCCTGAGACAGCGGAAAATTTGTTTCACACTCTCACCTCATTATATAACTTTTTCCTTCTTTGCATGAGCATGTCAGGCCTAAAAGCCTGCCAATAACAAGGAAATATGGAGAACTACTCTTGCTACTATCAACTGCATAGGTGCTTATTATATTAAGGTAGGAAATAGCTACTGTGTTTTTAAAGTTACACTTGCTCCTGTGCTGCCCAATAAACTCTATGTGTACCTCTGAATGAACACACACACGTTCTTCTAAAAAGTCACCAGTCTAAAACCAATGTATATTGGTCAACGTGGGCTCGGTGTTCTCCAGCACAGTAAAAAAGTATTAGTTACACAGCTGTGGAATTTGACCCAGGATGCTAAGATGGTTCTCTGGCTAGATGGTGCTGAACATCCTGCTCGTCCTCCAACAGCCTTCCATAAACTGAGTATGAAAAGTGTACTTCTCTTATGAGGGAAAACGTCTCTATGAAGTTGTACTTCATTTTCTTCTTAAATGAAACATATTTTTGCCTGAATTACTGATTTGGCCACTTGATTATACGTTTATCCTTCTGAAGTACTACTTTTTCATGCTTACTGAGGGATAGGTGTGGGGGTTTAATCCAGAGTAGCTCAGTACATAGTGCTAACAATACACACGTCCTTGGGAATTATTTCTGCTCTGCATCCAGGAAATTCTGAAGCAGGCAAGCAAGGAGCTGTGGAGCCTACCTGTGGTTGCTACTACTTCCATTTTTCTATTTCTCACTTGTTTCTATTTCTATTCACATAGTTTTCAGTCTTAGTGGACAGGATTTTCCAATTAGTAATAGTAGAGAATAATTAATTCTCTGTGATGTATATACATCTATATACAGTTTCCACCTACAGATAAAGACCAAGTGGTTTATATAGCTATGGACATCACATGGTTCCACATGAGTGTGAAGGCTGATGTGTAACCTGTGCACGACACAGTGACCTGGCCCCCAACACCCCAAGTCACAGAGCTTCACAAAGGAAGCTCTTTCTTGCAATAGGGTACTCTGCTCTTTCACAAAGCTTTGAAGCCTCTCAATGAAGCAAAGTACTGTGTTTTGAAAAAGTAAACCTTACCTTCTCCGGCTGTTAACAGCAATGCACACTGCAAGAATCAATGCAAGTGCCAGAAGAGCAGCAACTATAATAAGCCATTCTGTGGAGAAAGTTGAGGGAGGGAAGGAGATTGTGTTAATGTATCTCAAATAGTTTTGCTGTTTTGCAGAATGACAAGAACACAAGTTCTTCCACATTGTTTACCATGTCAGACTTTTTCCTAGCTTGCACAAATGTTTATTTATTTTACAAAGTGCTTCTGTGCAAATCAAATACATTTTCATAGAATCATAGAGTCATAGAATTTTAGGGGTTGGAAGGGACCTTGAAAGATCATCTAGTCCAACCCCCCCTGCCAGAGCAGGGTCACCTAGAGTACATCACACAGGAACGCATCCAGGTGGGTTTTGAATGTCTCCAGTGAGGGAGACTCCACAACCTCCCTGTGCAGCCTGTTCCTGCTTGGTCATTTGACTGCTCTTTATGAACCAAGTGCACCATTTCTTGAGATTTGCTTGCATCTCCATTTAACCCACTTATCTTCCTGTCTTCCACTGCCCCTTTGCCATTGTTAATCACTAGCTTTTTCTTCTGCCCACATCTAGTAGGAAATAAAAAGAAAATTAATATTGTAGATGGAGACTAGCAGAAATAAGAAAAAAAATCAAAGTTAATAAAAACAATAAAAACAAAAGGTGCTTGAAAATGAATCTGGTGTCTGTTAGTGCAGACTGACAATGCAAAGTATAAAGTTTCTCCATATTGCAGATTTATTATTTGAAAGCATCCACCATTATATGCATAAAATGTGGCAGGAGCTCACTTTTTTGATTTCTACCTATTTTTACTACAGATAGGGATAACATTCATTATCGAAAGCTAGAAAGGATTTTCTAACATTAAGATATATCCCCATTTATGAACTTTGTATATATCCCACTATAAGAACAGTGACATTCTAAATCCAGACTTGGAACCACACCTTTGAAAATGCTGAAGTTCCTGAGACAGCGGAAAATTTGTTTCACACTCTCACCTCATTATATAACTTTTTCCTTCTTTGCATGAGCATGTCAGGCCTAAAAGCCTGCCAATAACAAGGAAATATGGAGAACTACTCTTGCTACTATCAACTGCATAGGTGCTTATTATATTAAGGTAGGAAATAGCTACTGTGTTTTTAAAGTTACACTTGCTCCTGTGCTGCCCAATAAACTCTATGTGTACCTCTGAATGAACACACACACGTTCTTCTAAAAAGTCACCAGTCTAAAACCAATGTATATTGGTCAACGTGGGCTCGGTGTTCTCCAGCACAGTAAAAAAGTATTAGTTACACAGCTGTGGAATTTGACCCAGGATGCTAAGATGGTTCTCTGGCTAGATGGTGCTGAACATCCTGCTCGTCCTCCAACAGCCTTCCATAAACTGAGTATGAAAAGTGTACTTCTCTTATGAGGGAAAACGTCTCTATGAAGTTGTACTTCATTTTCTTCTTAAATGAAACATATTTTTGCCTGAATTACTGATTTGGCCACTTGATTATACGTTTATCCTTCTGAAGTACTACTTTTTCATGCTTACTGAGGGATAGGTGTGGGGGTTTAATCCAGAGTAGCTCAGTACATAGTGCTAACAATACACACGTCCTTGGGAATTATTTCTGCTCTGCATCCAGGAAATTCTGAAGCAGGCAAGCAAGGAGCTGTGGAGCCTACCTGTGGTTGCTACTACTTCCATTTTTCTATTTCTCACTTGTTTCTATTTCTATTCACATAGTTTTCAGTCTTAGTGGACAGGATTTTCCAATTAGTAATAGTAGAGAATAATTAATTCTCTGTGATGTATATACATCTATATACAGTTTCCACCTACAGATAAAGACCAAGTGGTTTATATAGCTATGGACATCACATGGTTCCACATGAGTGTGAAGGCTGATGTGTAACCTGTGCACGACACAGTGACCTGGCCCCCAACACCCCAAGTCACAGAGCTTCACAAAGGAAGCTCTTTCTTGCAATAGGGTACTCTGCTCTTTCACAAAGCTTTGAAGCCTCTCAATGAAGCAAAGTACTGTGTTTTGAAAAAGTAAACCTTACCTTCTCCGGCTGTTAACAGCAATGCACACTGCAAGAATCAATGCAAGTGCCAGAAGAGCAGCAACTATAATAAGCCATTCTGTGGAGAAAGTTGAGGGAGGGAAGGAGATTGTGTTAATGTATCTCAAATAGTTTTGCTGTTTTGCAGAATGACAAGAACACAAGTTCTTCCACATTGTTTACCATGTCAGACTTTTTCCTAGCTTGCACAAATGTTTATTTATTTTACAAAGTGCTTCTGTGCAAATCAAATACATTTTCATAGAATCATAGAGTCATAGAATTTTAGGGGTTGGAAGGGACCTTGAAAGATCATCTAGTCCAACCCCCCCTGCCAGAGCAGGGTCACCTAGAGTACATCACACAGGAACGCATCCAGGTGGGTTTTGAATGTCTCCAGTGAGGGAGACTCCACAACCTCCCTGTGCAGCCTGTTCCAGTGCTCTGTCACTCTCACAGTAAAAAAAAAAATTTCAGATATTCACCTTGAACCTCCTATGCTCCAATTTGGACCCATTACCCCTTGTCCTATCACTGGTCATCACTGAGAAAAGCCTAACTCCATCTCCCTGACACTCACCCCTTACATATTTGTAAACATTGATGAGGTCACCCCTCAGTCTCCTTTTCTCCAAGCTAAAGAGACCCAGCTCCCTCAGCCTTTCCTCATAAGGGAGATGTTCCACTCCCTTAATCATCTTTGTAGCTCATCATTCTGCTGTACACAAGCCAACTCAGATGATAAACCCTATCACTGTCAGCACCTACAAGCTCTGTATTTGGCGAGCATAGGTAAACAGGAGTAGTATCACTGATTAGCTCCAAGAGCAAAAGAGAAGGCTTAGCCTGTAATCCCAGGCACAAAAGCAGGATGACTTCCAGGTACACTTAGATGTTAATTTCTTTCATTTAAATTCCTACTTTAGGAATGTTTTGGGGGCAAACTCTAAACACAAAAGGAACTACAAAACTGGAAGGGACCCTAAGAGGTCATATTAGCTAGATTTGACTAGTGAAACATGGTCAGTAAGAAGATGGCCAATTTGCTCTTAATATTTTTTGTAAAGGAGACTTCACAGCCTTCCCAGTAGCCTATTTTTATGCTGTATAACCATTATAGACAAAGATCTGTCTCCTAAGAACTAACTCCTTTGTTGCTTGAAAAAAAAATTGCACTGTTTAAAAAAATCTCCTATGTTCCTTTTGAAAAAAAACTACTTCTAATTAGTTAGCATTACTTCATGGTGAATAACTGCTAAGCACTCTTTTTGTAGTACACTATTCTCATATCTCCTTTCAGTTTACTCTGAAAATTATGAGTTCTCCAAAAGCTGCTTCAGATGTTACCTTTCTAAAATTTTCTTTATGTTGCTCTCCATTGTTTTTTCTATGTGATGAACACAATACCTTGAACTGAACACAGAACTTCAGGTCTGGACTTGCTAGGGCTAAGTAGAGTAGGAAATTTCTCTGGTTTAAAAGTTACTTTACAGTTAATATGCCGTAAAACATTTTTGCATTTTTAAAAAATATTATCATAGTATTGGTTTATTTCTTTTCCATTTTAATCTACAAACCCTATTTTGCAACATTTCTCTCTGCTATTATTTTTACCAAGGATTCTCATGGGTATGATACTTTGCATATATCTTTACTGAATTTTGCCTGATTTAGTCTCAATTTATAAAGGTTATTTGGGTCTTAATCTCTTGCTCCAAATGCATATTTTCTGTCATCTTGATATCGCTGGAAAATTCTATGAGATACAATCTGCTCCATTTTTCAGACTACTAATGACAATGCTAAGTATTGTCTGATTCAGCACAAAGCCCGAACAACTGTCCTTGACCTACATCTTCATATATTATTTCATATTAATACAATTCCATGCTTAAATTGTTAAAGCATGACTTCAAAAACCTACCTGGTACCGGGGCTGACCTTGGTTGTGAATCCATTTTTGTTGTTGTCATCTCTCCAAATAAAGTAGTGGATTCATAAGGTCCCTTGTGTGGTCTTTGATTACCATATACACTGGATGATACTAAAGAACAGAACCATCTGTTAGGCTAAATATGCTTAGTGGACATTTAACAGTGAGGTACAACCACTATGACTTTCACAATTTAAAACCCATGTTCTAGAAACTTCATGCTGAGGTAATTAAAAAGCATTTCTGCTGAAAACTGCTACATAGACTATAATCATAATACTCACCTGAACTATGGATAATTTTAGTATTTTGAATAACAACCTCATGATTTTCCCCTCTCTTCTCACTCATATGTTTCAGTTTTGATTATGTTATACTTTCATGAATCAAAATGCAATTATAATTGCCTAGACATTTTCCAGATAAAATGTAAGGATATGTCAATGTTGGCAATGTTTTGAAGAGGTTTTTGTCATAAAAGTCAAACATCTTGTCTGTTCCATGGGAAAAAGGGTAAGAAAGGAGAGAGAGAAAAAAACACACTTTTAAAATCGAAACCTGTATTAACCAATATAGAGAAATATTGAAACTTTTAATCCTATAAAGCATAAACTTTACAATCTTTTTTAAACTTTAATGTTTTCATAAAATAGAAGAAGAGTTTTCTGAATGGTTTTGATAGCTATGCATTTCTTTTCCTAATAGAAAAAATGCTACAGATAAACTTAGAGGTGGATCCCCTTGTCCTTTTGCTAAGCTGTGTGATTTTGTTCTAAAAATGGCATTAGATCTTAAACCAACATGCATACTTCAAGTTTCAAGTATTTGCTAAGCTGGCCATACTGTCTGAACTTTCATGCAATTATATTTCTGGCCCATTCTACTTCCATATATGTATCCCAAGTCTAAAATTATCAGCAGAGTATAGGTACACAGATTTAATTTGGGATTACTGCATCATTATCACTAAAATAATATATTAGAGATATCTACCTCTCTGAATTATTCCAGAGTCTAATATAGCAAATTAAACACTTACTCTAATCAGCAGTAAAGTTATTTTTCTCTATCACACATTGAGACTAATTTCTAACCAACATTTCTGATCTCATTTTCTAATAGCAGCTGGAAAAAAAAAAAAAAAAAAGAAAAAAGAAAAAAAAGCAGCACATTTTTCCCCTCTCTAAAATTTAGCCAGCAAGTAGTTCGTTAATCTTCCAGATGTTGTACTTATTTTTATTAACAGGAAAATACTAACTGGTGAGTTGTTTTGTTCTATCTCAGCACAAAGGATAGAGCACTAACTCAGCAGCTATTGGTCCTGATTTAGCCTCCAAGAAAGCTGACTGAGAGGAACACTCTCACTTGTCTACCTCACATCTCAGCAGATACTTTTCAAGATGCTTTATATTATCCTTGAGAAATGCCAGAGCCTTTCCACCACAAAGCTCTTTCAAGGGGACATAGACATTTAATAAAATTTGTGCACTTAGAGAATGGCTACATTTGTGTCCCCCGGAGCACCAAGAAACAGCAGCAAGACTCAGTCATGTCTCCTACTGTTCTGGCTCTTGGAAGGTACTTGCAAATGGCAGGGAGAGCTCAAAAGCTCTCTATATTTCGTTTTCATGACATACTAGACTTTATTCTTTTTAACAGTTATATTTTGGTTCCTTCAGTAGATTCGTAATATAAAGAAAACTTGAACAACAGACCCATCATTAGTGTGATGCCAGATCAGAGCTTAAACACTCATGTGGAGAAAAAGCAAGTGAAAGAATGTAGTATAGAATTATAGAATCATAGAATGGTTTGAGTTGGAACAAGCTTCAAAAATCAACCAAATCCAACGTCCCTACATGGGTAAGGATGCTTTTAAGGATGCTCAAAACCCCATCCAATCTGGCCTTGATGGAGCATCCGCAGCTTCACTAGGGAAACTTTTCCAGTGTCTCACCACTCTCACCCTAAAGAATTTCTTCCTATTATCAAATCTAAATCTACCCTCTCTCCATTTTGAAGCCATTTCTTGCCCTATCACTACATGTCCTCGTAAAAAGTTCCTCTCCAGCATTCCTGTAGGTCACCTTCAGGTACTGGAAGGCTGCTATAAAGCCTCCCTGGAGCCTAGTGGTGAATGGAGCTGCATCCAGATGTCATCCGGTGACCAGCGGTGTCCCCCAGGGATCAGTCTTATTCAACATCTTTCCTGACAACTTGGATGAGGGGATCGAGTCCACCCTCAGTAAGTTTGCAGATGACACCAAGCTGGGGGGAGTGCTGATCTGCCAGAGGGTAGGAAGAAGCTACAGAAGGACTTGGACAGGCTGGGTCAATAGGCCAAGGCCAGTGGCATGAAATCCAACAAGAGCGGGTGCTAGGGCCTACACTTTGGCCACAATAACCCCAGGCAGTGCTACAGGCTAGGGGAAGAGTGGCTGGAGAGCAGCCCAGCAGAGAGGGACCTGGGAGTGCTGGTTCACAATTGGTTGAACATTAGTGGCCTGGAAGGCCAAGGGCATCCTGCCTTGTATCAGGAATTGAGTGGCTAGCAGGAGGAGGGATGCCATTCTCACCTTGTACACAGCACTGGTGAGGCCTCACCTTGAGTACTGTGTACAGTTCCCCTCACTTTAAGCAGGTGTTGGAGCGGGTCCAGAGAGAGCAATGAGGATGGAGAAGGGACTAGAGGAAAAGTCTTACACGGACAGGCTGAGGGAGCTGGGGTTGTCTAGCCTGGAGAAGAGGAGACTCAGGGGGGACCTTATCACTCTTTTCTACTACCTGAAGGGAGGCTGTAGTCAGATGGGGGCTGGGCTCTTTTTACAGGCAACTAGCAACAAGACAAGAGGGCACAGCCTGAAGCTGCTCTAGGGAAGGCTTAAGTTCAGTATTTAGGAAGCTCTCTCTCACGGAGAGGGTGATTAGACACTGGAATGGACTACCCAGGGAAGTGGTGGAGGCACTGTCCCTGGATGTGTTCAAGGACAGGCTGGATGTGGCACTTAGTGCCATGGTCTAGCTGATGTGGTGGTGTTGGTCATAGGCTGGACTTGATAATCTTAAAGGTCTTTCCCAGCTTTGGTGATTCTGTGTGATTCTGTGTGATTCTCTTCTCCATTCTGAACAATCCCAACTCTCTCAGCCTGTCTTCATAGCAGAGGTTCTCCAGCCCTCTGATCTCTTCATGGCCCTCCTCTGGACTTGTTTGAACAGCTTCATGTTCTTCTTATACTGGGGGCCTTCGAACTGGACACAGTACTCCACAGTAGGTGTCACAAGTGGAGAAGAGGGGGAGAGTCACCTCCTTCAACAAAAATCTACCCTGGGATGGTTCTAGTATTTTCTAAAGAAGTGCATAAAAATAGTATTTGGATTAGTGTGCATGAGAAATATCATTTGGAAAAAACCCTAAGTGTTATAATTATTATTTGTATGGAAACTACACTTGGGAATAAGGAAAAGTCCCTTCATTTCCCATAGTATGACCATATGACAACATAGTAAAAAAAAAAAAAAAAAAAAGTTATGTGTAGTATATTAAGTAAAAACTGTTACTGTTAACAACATTAACTCTATCAGAAGATTATAATTAATCCCTGATATGCTACCAAAAGCAAGCAAACCTAGGAAAAAAAAATGTTTCACAGAGTATTACCTTTATTTTGATACATGTTCAACTAATGTAGAGAGAAATTAATCAGGTAAAAAGCGATAGAGAGGTAAATGTTACATAGATATAATTTGTGACAAGAAAAAAAAAAAAAAAAAAAAAAAGACAAAATGTTACCATATTTGTTGGGGCATGAGGAGAAAGTTTACACTTGCTTGCTGTTGTGTGCTGCCACATAAAAATAACAGAATATAAGAGATGTTATTTGCAAAACATTATTTGTAGGCTTTTAGCAAATGTCCTCCTGTTTGCACAGGCAGAGATTCCCTTCAAGGATATCTTACAAGCAAGTCATAACTAATAACAAATAATGGAATAACAATATGATAATTATTTATAATAATGGTTAGTACACCCTATTTCAGACAATTGTCACTCTCCAAAATAAAAACTGACTGACGGATAAATGAAAATGATCATAATCTGTAGTTCTTACTAGTAGGAAGAGAGGTCTGTAATTGGTTAAGATGATCTTCAATGTATAGAAAACCTCCAGGTATCCAACTGAAATGAGAACCGTCTGTGGTGTTTGCTTGTTCACTTTCACTTCCAGGTGGACTGTCAGGGGTGGCAGGCTGTACTGCAGCCAGATCCGTGGTGGGATTGCCTGGCAATCCACCAGTGAGGAGGAATAAGGAATTGAAGACAGAAGCTAAGGGGCACATTTTTTCTATGATTGTCCTGCCCTTACCACCAGGATATCAGTCCCTGGTGATGGTCCTGTTGCTGTCACAGGAGCAAGCCATCAGATTAAGCCACCAGACTACCTTCACCACACCAATCATGGTGCCAAAGCATATCAAGCCTGATCCACAGAGCAAAAAAAGAAGATGGGGCTGGAAATTCAGAATCAGCAAAGTGCATGTCTTGCAAAACAGTCAGAGGACCACCCAGAAACATGCATCAGCAAAGGGCAGAAACCACCAACTGTACCAGCAAGTCACTTCTGCCTTGTCCAGAAGGTAATTATACCAACAGCACAGACTACACCACAGATTTTTACACTGCAAGCTCACAACAAGAATATACACCCTTAGCATGTGAAAGGCAGGAAAAGGAGACAATTTCATAAGAAATAATGTCTCCTTTCACACCAAGCATGAGAAATAAGCATGATACATTATTCTTACTGGTACCCATCAGAGGGGAATCATCACCAGTTTTGTTCGTACTAGTAGTGTTCTTGTGTGGGATCTCATCCCCAGAGGCATCTGTGGAAAGCATGATATCTTCAATGTTCTGGCCTGGTTCATTATCTGAATGTGGCTGTATTTGGTCTTCATGGTGGACACCATCAGGTGAGGCAACAGCTGTTACCATGATTATTTAATCAGCTGTGAATTCCATGTGTATGCTGCTGTGCCCCTCCCATTTCCACCTTGTTCAAATGATGTACTCACTTCAAACTACTGCTACCATTTTCTCACCACAAAACAGGAAAAGACGAGCGATATTCTATCCTCACATCATCACTGCTCTCTCAATGTATTGATCCAATAGTTTCATATGCTTTTCACTTCCACTTTTTTACTTAATCAAAAATATTCCCAAGGACAGCGGACTCAGCACCTCAGGCTATCACTTTTGATCAATTCATATCAAGAAAATTAAGCTATGTATTAAAATAATGATGATATATTAAGTATTAGAATTTATGATATTGAATCACAGAATGCCAGGTTGGAAGGGACCTCAAGGATCATCTGGTTCAACCCTTCTAGGTAATACTATATGAGATGGCTCAGCACCCTGTCAAGTTAAAACACTCTCTCTCTCTCTCTGCCCCTTCGCTTGGGAGACTATTCCAGTGTTTGATTGTTCTTGTGAAAATTTACCTCTTGTGTCCAGTTGGAACCTCCCCAGGATCAACTTGTGCCCATTATCCCTAGTCTTTTCCACGAGACTCCTTGTAAATAGGGAGTCTCCATCTTCTTTGCAGCCACTCTTTAAGTACTGGAGCATGGTAATAAGGTCTCCTCAAAGCCTTCACTTCTCAAGGCTGAACAAATCCAGTTTTCTCAGCCTCTTCTCATATGGCAGGTCCTCCAGTCCTCTGATCATTCTGATGGCCCTTCTCAGGACCCTCTCCAGCCTGTCTGCATCATTTTTGTATAGTGGGGACCAAAACTGAATGCAATACTCCTGGCATGGTCTGACAAGCACTGAGTAGAGTAGACTTTTTTATCTCTGCTGGTTATGCCCTTGTTGATGCAGCCCAGCATCCTGTTGGCCTTGTTTGCCACTGCAGCACACTGCTCACTCATGTTGAGCCTGTTCTTCACCAAGACCCCCATGGTCCTTTCCACAGGGCTGCTCTCCAGCCAGGAGGATCCCAGTCTGAACTGCACCCCTGGGTTATATGTTCCCAGGTGCATGACATTACACTTCTCTCCACTGAACTTCATAAGGTTCCTGCTGGCCTACTCCTCTAGTCTGTCTAGGTCATCCTGGAGGGTGGCTCTCCCTTCTGGAGTATCAGTCTCTCCACTCATCTTGGTGTCATCAGTAAACTTCATCAGGGCACTCTTGATCCCAACATCCAGGTCACTTATGAAGATGTTATCAGTCCCTGGGGGACCCCACTTGTGACTGGTTAAAGAAGAAGGGGAAAAAAAAAAAAAAAAAAGAAGAAAACAAAAAAGAAAAGGAAAGAAAAAAGAAAAGAAGAAAAAAAGGAAAAAAAGAAAAAAGGAAAAAGAAAGAGAAAAAACAACAACAACACAAAACAACCCAACCCACTTTTTTCCTTGGAAAATCATGAGTGAATACATGCATTCAAACAGGTGTAAAATGGGGAACTTAGGTAGTGATAGAAGATATATTCATTCTGTTGATATGTAACACATATGACTTTCCCAATTGCAAAAGAGACTGCTGAAGGAAAAGCTGATGAGAAGACAATCTAATTTTCACACAATATATGTGTAAAAAAGAAGAATGAACAACAGGTAGGACAAGAAAAGTAAGCAACAAACCATCCAAAAAGAAAGGAAGTTCCTTATTAGTACTTGGAGCACACTTGGCCATACACCTGTCTCAGACTGAAAATACCGTTGAGTAAATAATCCATGGTATATGAACAATGTGGACAACTGCTCCACCACCACCAAAGTACAGTCAATGAGAGAAAGCCCAGTGTTTTGCTTTTCCATCTTCAAATGCATCATAATAAAAAGTAGTGACATATATGATACATTCAGCCTTTAATCTAAGTGCTGTCTTAGCACGACATTCTTTACCCTTCATTTCTTGTGTGGCTTCTTGTGTCTTCTCTCCCAAGTATTGACAATCACCAATGGTTTGAGAATGAATTCCACTGAGCTTGGGTGGTGGATTTCTCCAGATTGTCATGATGAGACCCTGGAGCTGTTAAGACATGGTTCATTCAACCAAGGTCTTGCTATTATTCCTTGAGAAGTACTTTTCCTTCAGCCAAGTCAAGTTCATCAGCACCTGAGCTCTGAACAAGCTCATGCCAATGAGATAGATGCAAGTGCAAGACAAATGTATGCACCCATCGTATAATCGCATTCCTACAACAGCAAAAATAACCATTGCTTTTAGTGTCAGTTAAGTTTGAAACTTTCTACTAAAGTATAAGATTGTGTTACCAGCTCTGAAAGCCCAGTGAATTGAATTTGGCATAGCATTTTTAGTTGCGACATATCAAAATACAGTACACAAGTGGCTTGGCAATTTGGAACTACCACTTAAAGCAGTTTTTGGTGAGAAAGGCCATACTTTTGACATGGATTACCCACATTCACAGTCATAAATGTATTAGAATAACAAGACACTTTCACCACAAATTGACAAAAATGTTCTTTTCTTCCTCAGAAATTTACTTCAAGTGATAATTGGTTATACTAATTTGTGGTGCCTCAAAAAGCAAACAGCTGTGATAAAAAAGCAATGAGAAACAAACACACAGTAAATGTTTTTGCTCCCCTTGTCCGAGAGAGTGAAGGTTATTTCTCACTTAACCAGTCTGGAAAGTCTTTCAATGTCTTTCCAGAATTGGATGTGATGCATACGCCACCACTTACCAGAATACTCTATTGGAAGAAAAAAACCCCCACATTTTAATGCAATCTATATTTTATGTAGTCATTGTCATACGTAAACCTTACTAGTACTCGCAGTATATTCTCCACCATCTTCTTCAGGGGAATCATCAGCTGCCGTCACCAAAGAGTTGTCAGGTGAGACAGGAGAAATTTCATTATCTGTATGGTAATGGATGAATGATTACTATTTCATTAGCTGAGCTCAGTACTCAAAACTACTTTGATTCTTTTATACTGCAAACTTCATTCCTTCATTTACTTGTCTAAGAGAGAAGAAAGATGCAAACTCGGTTCTTCACACAACTCAAAACCAAATAGCCTTACTTTACTAACATAATAAGGTTATAACTAAAACAGACTATTTGGAGAGGAGCATGTATTGCAGTGATAATGAACATTCTGGCAATGATCTGTTAATGGGATTTGAACCCTAATCATACCTTTATACATTCTGAACTTGGATTCTAGAGCAATGAGTGAAGTTATTTGTATTCCACTCTTAACTGAGGTACATTCTGACAATCCAAAAATCTAAACTCTGCATGTAAGCAGAGTTGGTAAGAGTTTTCATGGCAAGCAACTGATTTACGTCATACAGCTTGGGGAATGGCTGTAATCCTAGTTCTTAAGAAGAGAATGTTAGGATTTACCTGTCATGATGGAAATGTCATGAGTATAGCATCAGTGAAAAGTAATTTTAAAATCCTGACACACCATATTTTCAGTATTTATTGAGAATAATGATGCCAAATACTGGTATCTTTCACTGGTAAGCTATTGGCAATTTGATTAAAAAGCCTGTGTTCAGAGATCAGACAATAAACTTTACTGCATTTAGAGACTAAATTATATTTGTATCCTTGAGGTTCAGTGGGAACCAGTCTTTCAGATGTCTGATAATTTCAGCCACACAGACAACATAAAAAAATAAATAAAATACATGCCATTTTCAAAAGAAAGCAAGATACAGGCAAAGCACTGTAACTCACTGATTTGTCCCCCTGCAGAAAGCCCTAGAAAATATGGCATTTGTATCTGGAAGGGTTTCATGAAAATAGAATATGGCTTTAGCACCTAAGGGAAGAAGATATCAATAACATTGTAATTTTACATTTTTATTACTCTGTATACTTTGTAATATGCTGTGGTAAGAAGATGACCTAAAAACCCCTCTGTATTCATACAAAGAGAAATCACTTGTACTGTAAACATCTCCTTGTTATTATTATTTAATGTCAATTCATCCTTTTAGAGAACAGATAAGAATATGTTCTCCTTATCTCCATATACCCAAACCTTTGGCCTCACCAACCTCTGTGTTCACTGCTAGATATGTTTTTGAGGTTTTAATGAAATAAATAGTTTAATAAGAACAAGAGCAAATTCTTAGAACCTTCAATTCTCAATATCTTGGTAAGGTTTATGTGGGAAACTGTGCTGATGTGTGGCTGCCTTGTACTCCCATGCAATAAAAAAATCCTTAGAAATTCAGAATATTTCTGTTTCCTTTCAAAGATACATCATCTCCTTTTCTTCAAATTAGAGACCGTGCTTCTCATTCCCTCATGACATCCTTTATCTAGCAATGTAATCCTTCACTCAGCTATTTTAAAAGCTAAATGGCTACCTACTGTCCTTACCAGAATCTTTTATAGGAATTTCTTTTTCATCTCCTCCCGAAGAATGATCTGGCAGCTGTGAGACTGGTGTAGCACTTCCATAATATGAGGGGCTGGATCTCCTGATGAAGGGATCCATGGGAGTTGTGTCATGCATTGATCCACTACCTACATTTTCATCATCTGCACTTGAGGTTGACAAGTCTCCACTATGACGTGTGCCATCTGAGTTAAAATGTGAGCCATCTGCATTATCAATGACTGTTGTAAAAGTAGAAATTAAGCAGTTGATAATCAAGGAGTGACATAGATATATATTAATAATTCTAAACATTTTAAGTCCTATAATTAAAAAATGAACAACTGTGATATATCAGTTCATCCATTTTTGCCATCCCGTCTAGTGTGTCTAGATTATACATCACTGAATTATGTCTAATACATATATGCTAAAGTATGTATTTGTCAACCATATGGGGCCCCCTCTGCATGAAACATTTTTATAATACAGTTTGATTTTGAACATAAAATCTGTAATGTCAATCATAATTTTAGAATTGGGAAAATAATTTATTTTGAGAGTTTTCTCCCATATCCTGCTACTTTTCTAATCAACAGCTTAAATGTGATGCTTTAATTGGTGTCAAACGTTTCTTGCCTTATTTTTCTTTTGTTTGGCTTGATATTAGCCAATACAACACAATATTCTAATCAATACAATACCTATTTCACCCTGATTACTGAGGAAAGAAGTATCTAGTCTTTCAATTGGCTCACATGCTTTGTCCCTTGTTTCTGTAAAAGAAGGAAAACAGAAAATATTAATTTGAGAAAATAAAGAAAAAAAATCACGTGTATACCGATATTAACTGTACATAATCACAAACCATAACCTTCAGGTGTGAACAATAAATAATTCCTAAATCAAGCATTATTCACTGATTTATCTACGTTCCCTTTTTTTTCCTTCTGAGGTGGAGCACATCAAGATTGTTCTGTTGGCTAACAACGAGATTCTCCATTTCCATACGCATTTCAGAAAAGGCTATTGCCAGTTAAAATTGCCTTACTAGTTTCAATGTACATAGCCCCACTGCTGTGGCAGCGGTGGTAGTTCTGATTCTTTTTAGCTCAAGAGACCCCTTCCATGGAGGGTTCTGCACAGGCAGAGTGTGGCCTGGTCTGGTGAGCGCTGCTTGCGCCAGCAGGCTGCAGTGCTACACTTGGAGCCAGTTTGTGGACCACCTAGCCCATAGTGCCAGAAGGGAATAAGACTCAGGAGGAATTATAAGGCTCTGGTAGGCATGGACATCACTGTAGCAGGAGAAGAGTCAGTGTGGATGACAGCGGATGACACTTGATGCTGTGCCAATGCAAAGGTGATTTTTAATATAACTACCAAGAACAAAAATTTTAAAAAGTCACAGCTTTTAACCATCAGTTAATTTTGCCTACAGCTTTCTATAAGATCTCTTTCCTCTATGAATATTTAACTGCCTAATGTCTGAATGGAGATTTTCCTGAGAGCAAATATTGGATTAACCTGCGAACAGGAAAGCAGCAGACATGTCCATCATCCTGGTATGGCCACCCTGGACCTTCGAGCTGCTGCAGGTGGTAGCCACTCCTGGAATCCCTTAGCACAAATAATTGTTGGAAGCTCATAGCAGAAAAGCCAAGAGCCATCAGCTACAACAGTTAATGCCTTTTAGATTCACTGCTGCAGTGCTTCACTGCACTAAGCCATCATAATGAACTGTTCTGAAGCAACAAAGTTAGTCTCAAGGTCAGAAAACAGTTTAGTTCTAAACACACTGACAGCAAAATATGTCAAATTAATTGCTGGTATTACAGATACACTTCTAGAAGGTGACAAAACATATTTCTCAGCTGAAAAGAAGTCCTCATTCTAGTACCTTAAATACATTATATGTTATTGTTAGTTAATCTATATCTGAAATAGATCATAAAAGCATGTACATACCTGTCGCATTGTAACAGTATGCATCATACCGACCAGTTGTATTTGCTGAAAGTTTGTAAATGCCAGTGTGATTTGCTGCACAAAGATGATAGGGATTGATTCGTGGGATAACAATATTTCCCACTACAAAACCATACCTATGAAGAATGGAGGAAAATAAACCATATCTCAAACATTAAGAAGCTACGATGAAGCCATTATTTTCATCTTACATTATTTTTTAAAAGTGTTTATGCATATTTTTTTATATGAAGAATGTTCCTTTCTCACATATAGCTACATAAATCTCCAGCCACTCAACACAATTTTGCATGTAACCTCTAGAGCTAAACCCATTTTAAGTAAGTGAGCATCTTATTAGCTATGACAATCAGCTTCAGAGCAAGGCAATTAAAGGAAGACTGTTTTCTCTTTTTCTTCTGGGAATCACATTTTCATTGCTTTAAGCACAACATAATATTCAGTGATATTTCACATAGAAATGTTAGGGGATTAATTCATAGTATCTGATCAAATTTAGAGACTTATTTTAAGATACATCACTTTCAACAAAACCTGACAACTTAGTAAAATATTCTAATACAACACTCATTCATCCACAAATTCTTACAGTATCTTTCAGTCAAGCAACGTGGCTGTTTAGTACAGAGCTCACACATTTCACTGAAGACCTACATAATGCACAATGTGTTATTACTATTCTGCAATCCTGTAACACCTGATTAATAGCAATAGATTTAGCTGGGAGGTGTGCTGGAATGGCAAAGAGAACTAGGGTTTGGTTTAGGATTTGTTTTACTTCTTGAAAGGTACTATTTATTAGGAAGGCATAAATTTTATAGCTATGCAACTTTTTATCTGTGAGCTCCATTCCAGTTACATATCTAATGTGCAAATACTTGCAATTCTGAAACACCATTGTAGGTGGAATGATGAACATCTTTATTCATACTTCTAATGATGTCACTCTATAATCCATTAATCACTTGTGTTAGAATATGTTGATTCATTTTATTCATTCACCATTCCACATGCAGTTTCATTATTATATGCACTACATTTTTTCTTTCGTATTCAACCTTGGTAAAAGCCTGGTCTTACTGACAAGGGCTTCTAACACAACAAATGAAGGCAAGAGGCTGGGAGAGCTGACCAGAAGGAAAGTGGGAGGGAATTCTATCTACATGTCCAAATCTGTTCTCTGCTATGGTGTGAATTAGGGAGAACTGCAACATCCATGAAAAACTACTGCTCTCCACTGCAAAAAACTCCTCCCTCTACTCCTTCAAATTATCTCTATATTTTTAATACAGAAAAGACTTTTCACATTGTAGAGTACTCCTAACAGCTAGCACTGAAAATCTCTACATCTAGAAGTTTAGTTAGGATTGGACCCTCAGTCTTTACATACTGTAGAGTGCTGGACAATCCAGAATGACAAATACCTTCATATGCTAATGTTAGAGAAAGAACATGCCTACTATGTTGGGCAGGACAACTACTCTGCATGTGTTAGTATTTTAAATTACATTCCCACTTCTCATGGAAGAATTTTTAGGAACTTCCTGTCCATTGTCCCCTGGCACTTATTTTTCAACTCTTTCAACACCATGCAGGGAATAATACCTGTGAAAGTGAACATGCCCTATGCTGTCATCAACAGCAGTGCATGACATTTATATATACAATAATGTTTTCAAGGCACTGTGCATGCATCTTTCTGTGATTACAAAATAATTTGTAAGGTTACTATTAGTTTAAAAGGAGCTTTATTTGATTTTCCTGGACTTGCAAGCCAGTGGGAAAGAACTTTAATGCATTAGGCATTAAAAAGGAAAGCACCACTGACTAAACTCAAGTGAAATAATTCACAGTATTGATTCGAGTGCTGCTTCTCATGGCACTTGAATGAAAGTCTTAAAATTTTTCATAAATGTCCACTGAAACTTTCAACTCCAGTCTTTTAGAAGATAAATTAAATTTCTCCATATTTACTGTTTATTTTAGATTGTAACAAAGCTGAAAATCTACTTATATTTATTTCAACTCTATAATGGTTTACCAACATGGATCCATATTGATTTAAACAAACAAACAAACAAAACAAACAAACTCCAAAAAAACCCCAGCACCCACAAAAAAAAAAAACCAAAAAAACCCCAACAAACAAAAATTACCCAAAAATCTTTTCATTCAAATGATTTCAAATCAAAGAGATAAATCTCTTTTCTTTCAATTAATGTTTGGGAAGACTTGCATAATAAGTGTATTACATATTTTGCAAAGCAAGATCACATGATGATTTAGTCTGACATCTTTACAGATCATAGGGCTATTGTGACTGAACAGAGGGCATTCTTAGGGAAGCTATTCAACAACAAACAAAAATTACCCAAAAATCTTTTCATTCAAATGATTTCAAATCAAAGAGATAAATCTCTTTTCTTTCAATTAATGTTTGGGAAGACTTGCATAATAAGTGTATTACATATTTTGCAAAGCAAGATCACATGATGATTTAGTCTGACATCTTTACAGATCATAGGGCTATTGTGACTGAACAGAGGGCATTCTTAGGGAAGCTATTCAATTTTGATTAAATTTTGGTGTGTCAAAGAATCTACTACAGTCTTTGCAAGTTGTTTCAGCCAGTAATAGTTATTCTTACATATTTTGTTGTATTGCTACTCAGGTTTAAAAAAAAATAATACATTCTGCAACTAACTTCCAATCTCTTGGTCTGATTGGTTTTTGCTAAACTGAAGAATCTCTATTATCCACATTTGTTGTCCTATACATCATTAATTACAGAGAGCCTAAGTAGTTTGTAAACACGTTTTCGGGTTTTTTAATAATTTTATGGTGGTTTTCTGGAACTTCTCCTTTCATAGATCATAAGAATGCACTAATTCCATGGCAATTTTTCACTGGGATGTCAGGAATTAATACCTCATGGTACCACTTGCTTTTTACTTTTCTTAGAAGATGAAGTTCGACCTATTGTATATACCATCTTCAGACTTCAACCTTATATCAGGTCATTGAAAATCACAAATATTTTTCATATACTTATCTTCACAATTAGTCAGTGGTATAGTATGATCTGAACTTCTTCCTAATTAATTTATTATACTGTCAATCTTTATCTTCAGATTTTATTGCTAAGATTCTGTTCCTCAAAGATAATTGGTAAAACGTATATGCATTCAAGGACTTATTTATTACTGGACCCAGAGCAAACATACATATTCACAAAGATGTTTTGTTCATCACAGAATACAACTTACTTGAGGACTGATATGGCCATCTAATTAACAGCTATATTAAATCAACTCTAATTATTATACTATAGCATAAATGGATAGACTCATAATGATATATAATTTTTCAAGAACTTCTTTACCTGCAAGTTTCAAATCCAAGTTCATGAGCTTTCTTCAGCTGCTCTAATGTTGACAGGGTACTATTGAGAGCTTTGCAGAGTTCTACTGCTTCAGATCGTGTGAGGCTGTAGCGACCATTTTTCTCAACATGAAAAACTCCTCCATATCTGCAACTTATATTGAATTCTGTTATCAAAATAAAATTAAAGAAGAAATTACAATTTGTTGGACTTAATGCTTCACTGAAGACCTGGAAATTATTTATTTACATACTTCCCTTATTTGGGCTGAGACACAAGACAAATCTTGAGTCTTTCCAAAAGTACCAATACAACATGTTTGTGTTAGTTATCTAGCACTTTAAACATATCATTAACAATAATATCAAGAATTTGAAAATATATTGTGAAAGTCCTGGAAACCCCATTACTGTAAAATAAACTGAATATTAAAATGTATTAAAGTATTTAATTCATAACATAATTTTAAAAAAATTAAGTGGTGTATAATCAGAGACTTTATGATCATAAGGTTCCTTAATTATCTCATTGTGGTCCCTTCACTGTGAATCCCATTAAATGAATGTATTATGTAAATCCCCCTTTTAAATTAAGATATATGTCAATCCCCAGTTTCAAAACCAGTTCAAGCAATGTTTTCCTATTACTAGCTAGGGAAAAGCAGAAAGCTGGAATTAGTTTAATGCTCCATGATGTGCCTGACACAAAATCTGAGTAAACTACACAGATATTCTGAACTTGAACAGCATTGTCCTGTTAAATACTCCCTGAAAAATAATATTTAAGCTCTTATACAGCCTGCTAGGGCAGAGAGAAGCATCAAATGCACATTATATAAGAGTTCATATGAATAAACTTCTTGTCCCTGTTGATTTACCTAGGTAGCATTTCCCTCCATTTTAAAAGGCTTCCTCTTGTTGAGCTCACACACACAAACATCTTACTGCCAATCCATATCAGAGTTTCAATGTGCACTGCAGCAAGCTTATTTAACATTGCAGGATGTCTTAGACAGATTTTAAGGTTTGCATATATGGAAGTAACTTTCAATGTCAAGCAATACGAGGATAAAAATAATAGAATCATAGAACTGTTTTGGTTGGAAAAGACCTTTAAGCCCATCAAGTCTAACCATTAACCTAGCACTTCCAAGTCCACCATGCATGTATCTGAGCACCACATCTACATCCCTCCAGGGATGGCAATTCAACCACTTCCCTGGGCAGCTTGTTACAATGCTTTGCAACCCTTTCAGTAAAGAATTTTTTCCTAATATCCAATCTAAACTTCCCCTGGACCAACTTGAGGCCATTCCTTTTGTTTAATCACTTGTAACTTGGGAGATGAGATCCACCTCGCTACAACCTCCTTTCAAGTAGTTGTAGAGAGTGATAAAGTCTCCCCTCAGGCTCCTTTTCTCCAGACTAAGCAAACACAGTTGCCTCAGCTGCTTCTCAAGAGAGTTGTGCTCTAGACTCTGCATCATCTTCATTGTCCTTCTTTGGAAACTCAAGTACCTCAATGTCCATCTTGTAGTGAAGGGCCCCCACAGTACTCACAGTAAGGCCTCAACAGTGCCAAGTACAGGGGGGCAGTCACTTTGCTAGTCCAGATCCCTCTGCAGAGCTTTCCTACCCTCAGGCAGATGAATACTCCCACCTAACTTCATGTCATCTGCATACTTACTGAGGGTGCACTTGATCCCCTCATCTAGATCATTGATTAAGATAAAGAGAGTTGGCCCGAATACTGAGTCCTGGGGAACACCATTTATGAATAAAATAAAAATTTAGGTGCCATGTCAATGTTGTGCATTTTGTTTTCTGGCCTTCAGCCTGGAAACCCTGAACAAGCAGTACATGCAAAGCCTACAGGAGGGGAGTGCTTCATACAATTCACTACAGACAGTGAACTGAAACCATAATTGGCTAGAAAGTCTAAGATTATCCGTTAATCTTTACATTTGAAAGATACTGCCTACACAATGCAACAGGTACAACAGGAAAACAGTATAATCCAACAGAAGCCTGTGACTGAGTAAAACGAGGGGAAAGATAAGCATTTGTTTATCACCTTTTTTTAACAGAAAACTAAGAGAATAAGAATAAGAATAAGAATAAGAATAAGAATGTGTATGGAGAAAATGGGGAAACATAAGGACCCTTCAAAGAAATCTTATTGCAGGAGCTTTGATCCTGCCCCACCAGGGAATCAGATCCAGCCAACATGGGTTTAGGAAAGGAAGGTCCTGCCTGACCAATGTCATCTCCTTCTATGACTGAGTGACCTGCCTAGTGGATGAGGGGAAAGCTGTGGATGTGGTCTACCTAGACTTTAATAAGACCTTTGACACAGTATCCCACAGCATCCTCCTGTAGAAGCTAGCTTTGACGAGTGTACCCTTCGTTGGCTTAAAAACTGGTTGGATGACTGGATCCAGAGAGTGATGGTGAATGGAGCATCTTTCCTGACAACTTGGATGAGGGGATCGAGTCCACCCTCAGTAAGTTTGCAGATGACACCAAGCTGGGGGGAGTGCTGATCTGCCAGAGGGTAGGAAGAAGCTACAGAAGGACTTGGACAGGCTGGGTCAATAGGCCAAGGCCAGTGGCATGAAATCCAACAAGAGCAGGTGCTAGGGCCTACACTTTGGCCACAATAACCCCAGGCAGTGCTACAGGCTAGGGGAAGAGTGGCTGGAGAGCAGCCCAGCAGAGAGGGACCTGGGAGTGCTGGTTCACAATTGGTTGAACATTAGTGGCCTGGAAGGCCAAGGGCATCCTGCCTTGTATCAGGAATTGAGTGGCTAGCAGGAGGAGGGATGCCATTCTCACCTTGTACACAGCACTGGTGAGGCCTCACCTTGAGTACTGTGTACAGTTCCCCTCACTTTAAGGAGGTGTTGGAGCGGGTCCAGAGAAGAGCAATGAGGATGGAGAAGGGACTAGAGGAAAAGTCTTACACAGACAGGCTGAGGGAGCTGGGATTGTCTAGCCTGGAGAAGAGGAGACTCAGGGGGGACCTTATCACTCTTTTCTACTACCTGAAGGGAGGCTGTAGTCAGATGGGGGCTGGGCTCTTTTTACAGGCAACTAGCAACAAGACAAGAGGGCACAGCCTGAAGCTGCTCTAGGGAAGGCTTAGGTTCAGTATTTAGGAAGCTCTCTCTCACGGAGAGGGTGATTAGACACTGGAATGGACTACCCAGGGAAGTGGTGGAGGCACTGTCCCTGGATGTGTTCAAGGACAGGCTGGATGTGGCACTTAGTGCCATGGTCTAGCTGATGTGGTGGTGTTGGTCATAGGCTGGACTTGATAATCTTAAAGGTCTTTCCCAGCCTTGGTGATTTAGTGATCCTGCTTCATTTGAGAGAAAAAAGTGGTTGAAATGCAGACTAGAATGACAACAACAAAGTGCACTTGATTGGAGCAGCCTATTATTCCCAGTGAAGAGTGGAGCATTACTCATTTTAATCTTCATTTTAATGGGAGTTCCATGTGCAAGCAAGGGGGGAAAAAAATAGACCAGTCTTCTCCAAGTATTAAATGGAGATGTTTATACCACAGAATAAGTCACTTAATAACTGTTATCGTAACAGACACAAAATGCAATTCATACATATTTGCATTAACATATTCTAGCATAGATGTAAAAGCAAACCATAGTAATCAATTCAAGCACTCTTCTTTCAGTTATTTTTGTTTATTGGCAAGCTAAGGTTCTAATCTTCAGTGTATCTACTCAGTTTAAAGTGCAAGGGATGTTCCTTTCCACAGACAAGAGGAAACAGTCATGGATAAAATATAAAATCACATCCAGACTGTATGGTGTATGAGAAAACAACTATTATTTGCAGCATAGGTAGAAGTCCAATAGTATTGATGACTCCCTGTTCAAAGCTCAAAAGCTGTGGATCCAACCTTGAATATTTTACAATAAGCAACAGAATTATTCATCATAGTTACTGAGATTGCCTTTCCACAAAAGGAATGTAAGAAATGTCTCTTCTCCCACCTGTCCCTCCTAGAAACCTTTAATGTAGACAAATTGATAGTGCAAAGCTGTTTAACAATCTTGATCATTACAGTTCTTAATCTTTTTTATTATCATATATTATAAAAAAATACCCAGAGGGCATAATTTTCAATTTTTGCAAGACTACTATGTTTTTTCTAAGTGCCTTTATTTTGACACAGCTGTTTTCTTCCAGGAAAAAAAAAAAAAAAAAAAAGTTTATTATCAGTTTTCTCTGATAGCAGTCATGTCTAGAGATGTTTTGAAGATAAGAATGCGGAAACTGTGTGGACAAGGACACTAATAAATTCATTTATCTTGCTTGGAGGACTTAATGAGTAGAAGCCAGTGAATTCATATAGAAAAATAGTCTCAGCAAGTTCCCACACATGATTCTGAAATAGTCACAGTGCTTTCACAAATGCTAGATGCAGATGTGCATAGCACTGGTCATGGGGATAGCTGGTAGACTAGAGACCTTCTGCAGCCACACTTCTCACTGACAGCACCACATGCTCAAGAGCCATTGCTATGTGTACCTACAAGTCATAAATGTAAACAACAGACATTCAGGTTGAAGATCTCAGCAGATCGTTTCTTACAACAACACAACAAATAGCTACTCTGCACACAATGATGGGCTCACAACTATTGCTGTGGGATGGAGTTGCTCTCACAGCTGCCAAATGAGTGACCTCTGTTGTAGCTCCCAATGTTCCATATTGAAAGTCTGATATTGTTTTGGAAGTTGTCTGGTTAGTAGCCACATTAAACATAAATGACCTAGACAGGAAAAAGGCTTGCCTTTAGTTTTCCCTTTTTGATTCTCTCTTCCCTGTAGAACAAGGCAGGCCTAAATTTGTTAATAATTAACCATATTTTGTGAAGCCGAAGACTTAATATTAATTTCGGGCATCAGATCACAAAGATCTATTTGGTTATTAAAAGTAAAAAGGTCAGTGATTTTGGAATCATGTTTGGAACATCAACATCTCTTCCAATAACTTTAGGTTAACTTCTGAGGAACTTTCACTATGAAAGCATATACTATATCCACTTGCTTTGGGTTGCATTTGAATCTCACAGCTCATCCCAGATTCACTGAAATATTAAGTGAAATTTGCTTTTGTTTGCAGTGAGTTTGATTCAGC